GAGAGAGAGAGAGAGAGAGAGAGAGAGAGAGAGAGAGAGAGAGAGAGAGAGAGAGAGAGAGAGAGAGAGAGAGAGAGAGAGAGAGAGAATACAAGTCAATAGGGATGACAGAGGTTTTGTCTTCTTTGTCTACTGCTATTTTTTTGCAGGCAATTGGTGGTTGGGAGAGGTCTGGTAGATGCGGAGCATGTACCATGAAGCGCAGGATATGGCGTCGTCTTGCGGCGACATGGCCACGCCGAACTTGTTCTGCACGTTCTGCTGCTGCAGATCATTCCATCATTTTGCCATCTTCTCTCAGAGGACAAGGTTGCTGTGGTCACCCTGCTCCTCCCTCCTCCCAACAATCAAGAATGTTCTGCCGATCGGCGGTGACTTGTCGACAGGATGATGGTATGACAACGGCTCGAGGTCTGCTGTTGTATAACAGGGCCATGGCGTCTAATAATAACACTCGTGTCCTCAAGGTTTGTATGTACCCCCCTTGGTCCCTCCCCTTCCTGTACCATGGCATGTATGCGGGTGCTTTTTTTCCCCCTTTTATTTATATATGTTGTCGATGCTTAACCACAACCGGGGTTAAGGTGGATTATCACTTACAGTATAATCAGTTAGGGGATTCTGCAGACTGTTGAGGGTTCAGCCTCTACTGATTGATGAGTCGGTGAAACTCCGACGAAACAGTTTGTCACCACCCCTCGTTTGTTGTCCTCCTCTCCCTCCCTCTCTGCTGACGGTGTACCGGCAGTTCTGTTTGACGATATATGTGTGTGTGAAACAGAACTGGCCGGTAAACCGTAGGCAGAGAGGGAGGGAGAAGAGGATAAAAAGTGAGGGAGTGTGTATTTATGCATGTATTCCCTTTTTATTCCTTCTCTTGAATTACTTGAGCGAACTGAGGTGCCAAGTGCTACCTCTGTACTCCAGAGCCAGGCAGCCATCAACCTTCTTCAGGGCATACTTAAAGCAGCAAATTTTTGACTCGTCTCTGGACGTAATTGCGGTCAGATGCATTGAGGAGGAGCCAGAATTACGGTTACAGGATACATGCAGGAAAGTGCTTGTGTGACTATGCTGTCGGATGTCACCAAGATTATGTGATCTCTCTCTCTCTCTCTCTCTCTCTCTCTCTCTCTCTCTCTCTCTCTCTCTCTCTCTCTCTCTCTCTCTCTCTCTTCTCCTCTTCTTGTGTTTCACATTTTCGGTCGAGCACCCTCTTTTGTCCATTCTG